TTTCGCAAGTATATTCATAGGAAATAGAACTCAATCAACATTAGTTTTAATTCGAGACCCGGGGTTAACTTGTCAGGCTTAGCAGAGTATTAGACGCCCACACATAATTAACTAGTTTCTCTTAGATAAGTAACTTCTTAGGTAAGTAACTTTTACGTTATTTAGCTTTATGTAGGAAATATTAAGTCGGATTATTTGATTTGATGAAACTCTTTTCTTATAAACCTTTGTATTTTTTAGTGTTATAGCAATTTGCCTTACAATTATTGCAGATTGAGATCCCAGAATTATAGAAAGATTTGTATTCATTAATAACTCTGGTGTTGATGTACATGTATTTTAATATCATATATATAAAATTCTCGTGTCACAGTTTTCGTTTCCATACTCCTCCGAAACGGCTTATTGAGTAGGTCTGAGAATCGGCCAACGTCTATTTTTCATCCCCCTAAATGTTAGGGGTAGTCCATCCATAATTTTTTTTTTATTTTAAGGCAAAACAACATTTGCCCGGACAGCTAGTATAAATATAATATTATATGCAAAACTTACACAGAAAAAATATAGACTAATAAATACACTCATGAATACAAAGGTTTGAATAGTACAAGAATCTAACCAAAACACTAGTTAAACTTTGTCTGCATTTTTCATTGACCGCATAACCTACTGCCTTCCTCAATAAATGGACTATTCAACACTAAAATAATATATCAATTCAAACCGGTAGTTTCCAAGATTAGCGCGTTCCATCAAACAAATATAAACAAACAATTTCATCAGTTTTATAATATTACTATAGATTAAATGGCCAAAATAGCTTCTATAAGAGTGTTATTTTAAACTAACTGCGGAACCGTAGTACTATTAAGCTCTATGGTCAGTTACCAAACCACGGTATAGCCCCATAAACACCCACACGCCAAGCGTTAGAGACTTAGTAATTAAATATTTAATTTAATCAGTCAGTATCTCTCGATAATTGGCTATTTAAATAGATTATTAAGGGCTCTATCGTATCGTATTACGGCAGTGTTTGTTTGAACTCACGATTTTCAGTTAAAGGCTACTAGAAGGTTATTTTTAGTTAATTCGTTTTCTTCAATGTATAAGTGGTTTTGATAAAATAAAAGGCTGCAAAAAATATCGAGAATTTGTAACACAATTTACAAATTCTGGATATTTTTTCTGCGCCTGCGTAAGTATCTCTGTGTCATTTCAGCCACCGACCAGCTTGTTAAGCTTTTTCGGTTGTAGGATCCATTTTGCATTTGGCAGTCAAATTACAGGATTAGAGGGGTGTAATGTATGTAAATAAAGAGTGATATATACAAACAAGTGATAAATACAATACGTGACAAATGATGATAACAAATTTTTCATATTTGGAACAAAAAAGTCTAGCTTATTAAAATTCAGTATACATAAATAAACGTATAATTAATACTAATGCAGTTTAGTCAGGCATCTCAAAAAATACACTTATTGAAAAATCGACTTTAAATTGAAACGAATAAAGTCGATTATCCAAAATTTGCAATTTTGGAGTTAATGCAGTTTATGATCCCGCGATATAAAGGTATAGACAATAATTAGAACTAGAAAATAATTGCAGTTATCGCTCTATTCCTACGTATTGGACACCATATCAGTATAATTGAGTAAAAAAGATAAATCCTCGAGTGCGGTACAAATCAGCTTTTAATTAGTTATAGGGTGCGTGCGCGCAACATTCTTATTCACTTGAAAAGATCTCAACGAGTGTATGTAAAACGCACCAAGTACCGTCCGTTAAAATAGATATAACGCAATAAGATTATAAAAATTTATGTATTTACCAAAATTATTCCATGTTCATATTAACATTGATTCCTACACTAGTCTGGGGCTGTTCTGTAGGAACCAGAATACGAAATTTTCTTATACAATATTTCTCATATTTAGGTCCCACCTATTTTATATTTATACTAATATTATTTAAACACAGCAAACATTAGATACTGCTATCTATTCTGATGTTTGTTTATGTTATCAGTTAGTATTATTTTATTTATTGCGAATCAGCTGTTAGTACAAATTATATTGGCCACAAATTATAGATAATACAAATAATAATACTTAAATAAATTTATTAGTTTATACTCTTTCTACTTCTATTGTCTAACTACTTGACTAAATACAGTTAAAATTAATAGCATCGTTAACGTATAAGATTATTACAATTATCCTACCGCATAAGGGAACAAGCAGTAAGAAAGCAATTTAATAATGCCGTCACAATCATCGGCAGTCTCTTTGTGTAGACATTTTTTTCTATCAATTCTAAGTCTTTAAACATCACCATATATGTATATGCAGGAACAAATAAAGCAAGTGCAACTAAATGATTGCTCAAAGTATTTATATTCAGTTAAAAAGAGTTCAACGCGTGCAGCGGCGCACGCGCAGACTGCAGCAATACAAACTTGATTAGAGTTTATGAGGGAAATAAAAATGTATAATCTTTTAATAAGTTTGCTGATGTCTTATTTTAAAGATTGCGATGGTATAAACGGTTATATAATTAGTATTTAAGTACTAAAGGTAATCTTAATGACTCAAATATATATATAGCTTCTTTTTTTATTAATTAATAATACTTGTTAATGAGATTACTTTAAGTTTTTTTTTTATATTTATTGCTTCAAAATTTGAATAAGCGTCAAAACTTATAGCATGGATTTATGTTTTATTCTCTGTAAGGTAAAGGCGCCACTTACAGCTATTCATAAAAGAAGTGATATTAAAATATACAGCAATTTGAATATATATATGAATATATATATTCAAATTGCTGCATCTATAATGGCATCCTAATTGAATTTACATAAGACGCGTTGATGCGGTTAGTTCTAATATTATAATAATAGTTAAAGCGAATCGTGAACAACCAATTTAACGGGTCTTTATAATGTGTACTCAATTTTCTGTCTTATTATAATGGAGTATGGATAACATGTTATACTAACTTAAGTACTGTTTGCTCAAGATACAATAATGGCTTGATTGCACTTTGTTTTTAATGATTCAAATCTATAGATAATAAAAAAAAGTTCAATCAATAAGTTAATAATTTTAGTTGTAAATATAAATCACTATCTGACAAGTGCAACTTCGTCTGTGTCACAATAAGAGTGAAGAAGCTATCAAAGAAATAAATTTACCCCATTCCTTCAAGATTTTTATTAATATTCCGTTCCAATTTGTCCTATCATGATAGCATCCTTCATCGCTAAATGACATATTTAACACACTAGAGTTGAGGATTTTCGAGAAGGTATATTACGGTTTCTTAAGGGACGGCAACTTACAATTTTATACTGGTTTGCTTCCATATTTATATATATATAAATAAAAACACTTTTTTTATAAACAGACGTTTTACATTTCTAACCAATATCAGCTGAGATTAGCGCGTTAAAACAAACAAACATATCTGCTTTATAATACTACTATATATTTCAACGTCATAAATTTTATGATTCATTGAACATAGCCATTTTAGACGCCTTAATCAGATTACAAAGATGCCATACGTCATTATAAATTTAATTTCACGGTCTGTCAATTACAAAATGCATTACGTTTTAAAAGGCATTAACAATTACGGCCGCAAACTTGTTTACGAATGTCATAAATGTGAGTCCGATAAATCTAGATTTAACATAAAGCTAGGGGGTGGTCAGCGCGTGAATGTTTCACATAAATGACGTAAGTTTTAGAGCTTTGTGTGGGTCATCACACTGACGTAAATATTGTTACTTATTAAGAGTTAGAATTTTAAATATCTTTAGTAACTTGATTTATACTATTAATGTCTTTATTATATGAAATACAACGAAATCTTTGTTAAAAATGTTAGGTATCTAATTATTATAAAATGAAAAATAGTAATACATGTGTGAACTTAGAAATACATATATATTGATTTTCATTAAATGTGTATAAAAAACCTTCACAGGTTTATCTAATGAATTCATACAAGTATAATATACTAGTATCTTGTCCGACTATCGTTAAAACAAAACAAATTTGTATAAATCAAAGTTTTATCGCATATAACTCAGAAATAATTGGTGCCATTTCTCCACCACGCGCTCTTGAGTACGCTACCTAAAACAGTCATCCAGCTAGTTGGCAGTCAAGCTACGTCCGCGGTGTAACGAGAGGCTGGACTAGTCATTGTTGTGATAAGTGTATACTGATCGCCGTTTAGATAGTCCGGCGTGGCGGCCACGATCGCGCCATCTCATTCTCTGTTCACCATCCGATACTGGTGTGCATCCAGATGAGTGTGTTGACTCTATTTGTCATTTGGTCGATGGCGTGTTAGATTAGGCCATGGTTAATACATGAAGTTTTTAAAGGCACGCCACAGTTGTAAGTTGAGAATAGAGGTATTTTAAAAGACACTTGAATAGACAATTTATGAGGACTTTAACAGCTTTAAACGTTTATATATTCTTGATTGTACTTTAAAATATAGTAATAGTACAAATAGGAGATGAGTTAACTTAACAATGAGTCTTATCTCTAAGAGATATTAATCAGTCAATCCAAAATAAAAAGAAAAAAATAGAAATATCCCCACGATAAGAGAATACTCGTGAAAGACACATGCATTAGACTAGAACGATTAGTAATAATAAATTAAAGAACACTATAAACATTATTTATTAAGTTACTAATAATAGGTACAGTTATCAATAACTTCTACTCTAATAATAGGTACAGTTATCAATAGCTTCTACTCTATAAATAGGCACTAATATTTTGGATGCATAAAATAACAAATCCTACACTATGGAAAACAATGGTAACATATATCCAAAACGATTAAACTGCTTACTGTATAATGTCACCATTAGTAAGCCATAAAAGCATTTAGTTAAGCAATTCCGTACAGAACGCGAAGACAAAGAAACAAAACCAGTTACAAGTAAATCAAAGTCGGTACTTACTGTTATCACGCAACAATTACGAAAGCTTCAGTTATCAACTATTATGTAAAAGAGGGCGCACTCGCGCCGCCACTCCACGGCACTTTCTCCAGGCTCCCGGCAAAACCGCCCCTCACCCCCACGTTATCGACACCCCAAGTGCACTGTCTATTCACACAGCCAGTCAACACAGTCCACTGCAAAAGTTTGTATTATCAAGTTTCGTATTTGTTGCGCGCGCCGAAGTGTGCGACGCGCGTCTGCTTTCCTACTGGGCCGGTGCCGTACTAGTTATGAAGTGTGGCGAGCCGAGAACCGGCCGACTGTGGCTACTGACTTGAGGACAGCCGCGCCGCCAGTCCCTCGTACAGTACACGAACCCTAGGCTAGCCCTGACACACCACATAAGAAACTTATAGGACTTCACCACTACACCCTCAGACGAGGCTCATAGCGCGACTTGAATTTTTTGTAACGACCGGATTATGCGGCTTAAAATCTTAGAGTAGACTACAATAACGTTAATGTATTTTTTTATAAATATAAATAACAAATAAATTGTTTGACTATTATTGAATGCCATTAGGTAATTAATTAGATGGTTACTAAAATTGGATTCATAACAGAAATATATTTTTTCTATACATATATTATTAAATACGATGGATGAAGATAGTTTTAAATAATAAAAGATGCGATAAACATTAATAATTAATTCGTAGCTAAAAATGTGATAACTTTAAAAACATTTAAAAAAGTTCGAGTAAATAGTAATAAGTACCTAGAACATCGTTAGAAAGTTCTTCGTAAGTTAAATAAGAAGCTGCGTGACGCTCAAGCAAGGGTAGTCAAAGTTCCCGATGAATATTTGCCTATCCGATTTTAAGTTATGTAAACCTTTCGTAAAGTATAAAGATACCCTTCTAGGGTATCATGAATTAAATGTGGTGGTTGTATTGACACACATAAAACATAATTTATTATAAATATAGTAAGCACATTTATAAAATTTTATAATACTTATTCATATAGTTACACTTAAAATACCTTAACTTTATTGTAACTTTTTAATCATATTTAGTTCTTTGAAAGCTTTGTATCGCGTGATGTGAGAAGGGTGAAACGCGCCGCGCCGTCCACCATCTTGCATGTAATTACCGACGAAGGAAGTTTGTTGCTTTTTGGGGCCAAAGCGTGACTTATGTTCAACCCTCCGTCTTAAAAATAAAATTAGTATGGCAATAAAAGCGCGAGGAACATCGTAAATACCTGACACAAACAAAGCTAATTGCCAGATTTCAATAGTAAATACTATATTCTATATCATAATTGCTAAGTGATTATCAGGCTGCAGATGTTTAAAAGTATAAAATTTAAATAAAGTCGTTTAAAATGTACTTAATAAATATATAAAATAAAATATTAATTTATTCCAAATATTAAATATCGTATTGGGAAAACAAAAAAAACACTCAAGTCATAATTATATGCAAATTGCTAAACATTGATAATCAAAGTTGGGCCGCCAACTCTCAAGATGTCAGAATGAATGTTGTGTGACTAGTGGCGACTCCATAGCTTGCTTCACAATGGTTAATCAAAAGGCCGTATCTCACTCTGCAAGGCCTCGCCGGGCCTGAGACGTTACATTATTTCGATTTCATTTGCTTGCTCGTGAGTGCTGTTTTTTAGTTTTTGCTAGCATTCGCGAGCGCAGGCAAGGCCAAGGGTCATCATTGATTCTAGGCTTTGTTATTCCTGGAGAATTATGAGTGGAAGTCGGCAGGTAGTACCATCGTAACATCGAATAAATGGGATTCTTTTGAGGAATATTGAAATAACTTTAGGCTATGAGAGAGTACACGAGAATATTATGCAGATTAATTCTCGGATGATGAATGGACCTCGTAAATCTTGTTTGTAATTTATTTGTATACTAGTTATCGTCTTTGTTTCGTTGTTGAATAGGTATAAGAATGTTAAATTTAATACTGGTAAAAGGTAAAGATCAGGATAGGTAATAGTTACTAATTTCCAATAATATATCTAAATATTTAACATGTAGAGCATTATTAACATACAGGTACATCTACCTGTATAAAATATTGTTTTTAACTTGAACCACCACTAATATCACATCGTCATATGGCATCCATCCGTTGCCATTCATGAATACTAAGATTATCATTCATATTATATAAGTTCACTGTCTCAACTGAAACACAACTTACGATGCAAACTGCATGGCGACTGAAATACATAGGTGAAGGAAACGTCATACAAGATCATGGTCAAAATTACGAAGATAGAAACGATGATGATGAGACTGAGATTGTCAAAACTAGGAGTAATCTCTGAGTTAGAAAAACTGTAACAGATAAGAGTATCATGGTCGCCACAATACAATTCATAGTAGGTATCTATAGAGTTGTAAATGTTTCTTCGTGACGATTATCTATAACAATTAGACGGACTAACAGCTTCTCTATATCCAATATGACAGAAAATTACAAGTTGTTTAGAGAGAAAGTGCATCATCCATTATTATTTATACATTCTGTTACTGGCTGTGATCTTTTTATAGTGTAGGATTTATTTTTCTTTTTATTTGATAAAAAGTAATTACCAGTCACGAAACTTACAGCCAGTGATGCGGGTGCGAGTCGAGATTAATTGAATTCTTAGGCGTGAAGAGATGGAGTTGTGAGGGGGCGGCATAGGTAGATACTTTTTATAAATTAACAGTCGTAAGTCACAGGAGATAGCACAATACAATTTATTTAGGATCTAAAATAGTTTTTAAAATTTGCTGTTGTCATCAGCTTAACACGTTAAACTTCAGTAGTATAACTCTTTATACAAGAGTAATAAATTTATACTACCCTTCTTTATGATATCATAATTTAAACATGGAGAATTTTATTATATCCCTACAAATAATATATTTTTAATTTCTTAAAAGATATGTGAATGCAAAAATATAAATAAATATTTTAACCTACATAATATGTTTCGTATGTATTATATTAATTAAAAAATTACGAATACTCATATATTTGTAAATACATTCATAAATATCTATAATAAAAAAAACCATTTTAACATCGTTAAATTGATACATGGCAGTTTTTAAATATCAAAAATATTACAGAAACGCTACATTGATTTTGATCATTTCCGTAGACGTCAATAAATTGGTCCAAACTTATCGAATTGCCTCTAAAAGGTCCATCATCACCTCTCCAAGATACGCTCGCGTCTAACAGAATCATAAAATACATTATTTATTTTCCACTAAAATATATAAATACTTTACTAAATTTATATTCAAATTATATATTATTTATTATGTATGGTCTAGGTTAGATACTATTTATAAGTGGCTTTGATTAAAAATTCTTTATGATATGGATGGGTCGGCGCCGGGTAAATTTTAAATAAAAGAATATGTAACTAGCTAACTAACCTAGCTTATAATACAGAAAAAAAAATAATGAAATGTATTACGTAATAGTTACAAAACATGGCTTTGGCCGCATTGCAATAATTTAGGAAATGCCTTTAATTTTCACATGTTAAATATAATAATATTATATTTAATATGTGAATGTGTAATATGAATGTGAAAGTAGGTCATATCTCAAAAATAATGCGTCTAAAATTTTATCCCATTTACATTTTTGAAATATACAATGGTTAACAATAACAGTAGTTGTAGAACTCAACCATAAGATAATTCTGATACATAAGAGTAAAAAAGCGATTTACTTTCACAGTCTAAACATAATTTTATAATCAAGAGAGATTAGCTCTTTTAATTGAATTAATAGGTACATGCAGTGTTTACAACAGTCGTACAGTATTAGTTTCGAACTCAGAAACTTTTGTTTTCTGAACTCTTTATTTCCGGGGAAATAAATTTCGACATCGATAGTAAGAGGATCAGATTCTCTTACTATATTTTAATTTTATAAGATTATTATTTACAGATTGTGAAAGTATATCATTTTGTGAGTACAATTTATTTCTTTCTTACAACTTCATTACGGAAGATATAAATGTTTTTTAGTTACAACACTACGTGCACAAACAACTCATCTATACGAAATATATCATCACTATTTCAATTTTGTTAACATTTTTTGGTTGTACAAATTCAAAATAAATTTTCTAAAAAGTATTTATGAATAGTCCACGTGAATAAAGTCACCGTCGACTAACTGGTAATAAATTTGAAACGTGCTTTGTATATTGTATCGGAAATCTGTACACTATTAATTGGAAGTAATAGTGGTCTGATAGGTATGTGATATGAATAAGAATCCAACGTTTGGTTTGCCTAATGCATTATTCACTAAACATTCTTTAAGATTGGGAAACTGTTTGTAATCAGAATTAAAATAGTTCAAAATATATTGATTCTAAAGAGACTTCCCTAATGGGTTATTTATGTTTTTGTGAGTTTAGTTATGTTCAATATAAAAAGAAAAGTATTAATTTTTATTTTGATCATAACCTAAATAATGCGTTTTAGTAGATTTTTTACTTTTTCAATTTATAAATTAAAAGCTATGTGGTGAAATCTATATATATATATTACAAAAGATCCCTTGCCGATTCTATCTGTATATTCACGATAACGTCAATAACTACTGGACGTATTTTCAGTACAGTGATTTCTTCAGAATAGTTTCGGTGTAAGATTTGTTAGGCTATTTATTTGGTAGGGCGGATCGGCAGCTTATAAATAAATTGATGTCTGAGGAATTAGCTTTACAAATACAGTAAGTTATTTATTGCAGGTATTATAATGACTCTAAATGAAAGGAATCGAGTCCCACCACAGTTACAGATGAAGCAGTGTAGGATGGTTTCCCATAAACCGGAACAATCATCTACAAAATATTATGTAGAGAGTTGGTGAATGTAGGTGGGACAGGATCATTACTCATCGCATAATATGATGGAACCCCACGGAGTTATTAAGAATAGCTTAAATTTTCATTAGTATGACAGAAATTAAAAAGACATTCCATATTTCTGTCGTAATCCTTTAGTCTATAAATGTTTTATTTATTCTATTCTTATATATAATAGATTTGCCTATCTAGTATAAAGATTAGCTAAAATTTTCACGATTAGTGTTATTGTTTTAATTATTATAGTTTTATATAATTAAATTGAAACAAATCCTTTAAAGCTTACAACAGTGCTTAAGAAATATGTAATAGTGGTTTGAATTTTACAATAATACGGTGAAAATCTAAGTAGCGGTGCATAAAATCAGTGGCTACACGGTTCACACTTGATTAAAGTGAATGAAAGCGTGCTAATGCGCTGTCACGTGTT